CTCGTCGAATCAACAAAGTGCACCGTGTGGAGGTGGGGAAAAGATGACATTCATAATATTACAAAAGGTGGTAGCTGGTTTTGATAGGAACCATCCACGATCCGGTGTGAAGGGTATAGAGATCCAGTACATACAGGCTGTAAGGCATTCTGTCTCGCTCCTCAGAGGTGACAACGCATCTGCTCACTTTTTGTTTGACGTTAGTTGCAGTAAGTTTTTTGTCACTTAAGTGTTATAAAAATATATGTTAATTCTTTCTTACATATTTGATCGAATTGTTTTATTTAAATAAGAATAAAATAAATTATTTCATAACTTAACATTTCTCAATAATAATAATAATAATATAATAATCTATCCTTAGCCAACGAGCAATGGCAGGACCCAGCAGTGCTTAGCAATTCCGACCGGGAGACCGTATGGAAGGAGAAGGAGCTCCACGGGAGGTACTACAAGGCTCTACATGAGCCCTTCGTAGATACAGTCGCCTCCCTCAACTGGCTACGTTTCGGTGACCTCTTCGGGGAAACCGAGGGTTTTGTCTGTGCAATACAGGATCAGGTTATTAAGACCAACAACTATCGGAGATACATCCTAAAGGATGGCACCGTCGACGTCTGTCGAGCTTGTCGCCATCCCGGGGAGTCACTTAGGCATGTCATCTCCGGTTGTTCGGCGCTTTCTAACTCTGAGTACTTGCACAGGCACAACCTAGTAGCCAGAATTCTACACCAGGAGCTCGCGCTGAAATACGGTCTCGTGGACCGGAAATTGCCGTATTACAAGTACTTGCCGGAAGCCGTGCTCGAAAATGACCGCGCCAAACTCTACTGGGACCGGGCCATCATCACAGACAGGACTATTCTTGCGAATAAGCCTGATATTGTGCTGATGGACCGGGCACAGTCAAGGATATTTTTGGTCGATATTACCATCCCGTATGACGAGAACCTCGTGAGAGCCGAAACTGATAAGCAATCAAAATATCTGGACCTGGCTCACGAGGTGAAGGACATGTGGGGTGGTCTGTCGGCCGAAATTATTCCTGTAGTCGTCTCTGCGAATGGGCTAATCCCAGTTAGCCTCTCTGGTCATCTGAGGCGACTGGAACTCCGTGACGGACCGCTCCGGGCTCAAATGCAGAAGGCGGTGCTCCTTGATACTGCCCGCATCGTCCGCCGGTTTCTTTCCCTTTCTTCCTAACCCTTGGCCGTTTGGTCTCCCCTGCCGAGGGCTTCCATCTGGTTGGGCTTTTATTTATTTATGTATTTTTGTATTTATTTTATTTTATTGATATTTATGTATATTTATCCTTTCATTTTCGTTTATAATTATATATTTATACATCCCAACTAGATGAGAAAACTATATAGATACCCCACACATAATAATAATAATTATTATTATTATAAAAATATAATAATAATAATAAATTTGATGATGCCGAACTCGAACGACTACGACGTGAGGCTATTCCGTCGTCGAATGAATCGGCTATGGCTGGAGATGCAGCTCCACATTCGACAGACCAGCATCCACACGTGGAAGCCGCCATGGATCTTCCAGTTGTGGTTGATTCGAACGACGATGAAATAGTCTCCCACGAACTAGAGCAAATGAGGAGTATATTGGAAGAGGCGATTTTGGAAACGCGCAGCACCCCTCTCGAAAATCGACCGCGACTTCCCCCGCATACCCTTAAGCAAGCGAAATCGGGCTGTCGTGAGGGCTCTTAACCCAATGCTGGTGACCTATTTGGAAGCCAGCCGGGAGCTTTGCGAGACGGACTCGATTCTCTTTGGCGCGTCAGTGGTAGTTTGCCGTATTATTGGCGCCAAACTTCCCATGGCTGGACGCGCTACTACACAAAGTAACGCCATCCCAGCCCGGAGAAAAAGAATCGAGGACCGTATCGCAAAGACAAGGGCCCTTATCGGCAGACTGACAAGCTTCAGGTCGGGTAATAATAGACCTAGGAGTGTGCGCACCGTTAGGATGGCGTTTGCTGGGACAAATATCAGTTTGTCATAGCCAGATTTCACGCAGAAACTAACGGAGCGCATAGACGACCTGAAGCAAAAGATCGCTGCTTGGGGGAAGCGGATTCGACGATTTTCCGAGGGGTCAAGGCGGTTCAACCAGAATCGTCTCTTCCAGAGTGATCAGAAGAGGCTCTATAAATTATTGGAGCGACCAAAGGTATGTGTAGCGGGCCAAGGACCGGATCAGGCTGACATTATCGCATTCTGGCGTGGCCTGTGGTCAGAGCCCGTAAACCACAGTGAGGGCCCTTGGATGGAAGTTGTGGCGAGCCAGTGTGCGAGTATTACGCCCATGGACCCCGTCACCATAACGCCGGAAGACGTAGCTGAGGCGGTCCGTAGGGCCCCGAACTGGAAAAGTCCGGGGCTTGACGGGCTGCATCATTACTGGCTGAAGGTGTTCGTGGTGTGTCATTCTGTGCTCGCCCGACAGTTTCAAGAGACTCTCGACCAGAAGTCACTCCCGAGCCTCTTCACTACTGGGATCACTCACTTGGTTCCTAAAGATCAGGATACCACAGACCCGAGCAAATACCGCCCCATCACGTGTCTACCCACCATATATAAGACACTGACATCCATTTTGAGCGCGAGAATCACTCGTCACCTGGAGCTAAACCAGGTGATGTCACGCGCTCAAAATGGATGTCGGGGCGGTGGTCGTGGAACTAAGGAACCACTCCTCATTGACGCGGTCATAGGCAAAGTGGTGAAACGCAACCGTCGGAACTTCTCTGCCGCCTGGATAGACTACAGAAAGGCGTTCGACTCGGTGCCCCATACATGGCTAAAGAGGGTCCTCGAGCTGTACACGATTGACTGTACAGTTAGAGACTTCCTCGAGCAGTGTATGGGGCAGTGGAGTACGATCCTTTGTCATCTGGGCGAGCGGATGATGGCTGCGGAGAACCACATAAGGATAAGAAGGGGTATCTTCCAGGGCGATTGTCTGAGTCCAATCTGGTTCTGCCTCTCTCTTAACCCTCTCAGTACCTTACTGGAGGGCTCCGGGAGGGGATTTCAGCTACGGAGAGGAGGGACAAAAGTGACCCACCTTTTCTATATGGATGACCTCAAGTTATTCGCCTCCAGTCGCTCCCATCTTATGGAACTGCTAAACATCACTTGTGAATTTAGCAGTTCCATTGGAATGGAGCTGGGGACGGATAAGTGTGCGGTCCTCCATGTTGAAAGGGGAAGGGTTGCTAACTCTGAGGGCGTAGACTTGTCTATGCCCGTCAACTTAAGGACCCTTTCCGAGGCTGAAACATACCGATACCTGGGTATGTCACAGAACATCGGTATCGATGAGGCTGGTATGAAAGAGTCAGTTTGCGACGTGTTTTATGCACGCTTGACCAAAGTGCTTAACAGCCTTTTGTCCGGTGTGAATAAGACACACGCATATAACGGCTGGGTCATGCCTGTCCTCATGTATACCTTTGGCATACTCAGGTGGACTCAGACTGAGCTTAACGCCCTGGATAGAAAAGTCCGCACTACCATGACGTCCCATAGGATGCATCATCCGAGATCGTCGGTAATGAGGCTGTACTTGCCGCGAAAGTATGGTGGGCGTGGCTTTCTGAGCGCGCTCACCATGCATAATCGCGAAGTGTGCAGTCTCCGTCAGTACTTCTTGGCGAGATCGGATGATCCATTCTATAATGACGTCATTTCTAGTGATAAAGGGCTTACCCCTCTATCCTTAGCCAACGAGCAATGGCAGGACCCAGCAGTGCTTAGCAATTCCGACCGGGAGACCGTATGGAAGGAGAAGGAGCTCCACGGGAGGTACTACAAGGCTCTACATGAGCCCTTCGTAGATACAGTCGCCTCCCTCAACTGGCTACGTTTCGGTGACCTCTTCGGGGAAACCGAGGGTTTTGTCTGTGCAATACAGGATCAGGTTATTAAGACCAACAACTATCGGAGATACATCCTAAAGGATGGCACCGTCGACGTCTGTCGAGCTTGTCGCCATCCCGGGGAGTCACTTAGGCATGTCATCTCCGGTTGTTCGGCGCTTTCTAACTCTGGGTACTTGCACAGGCACAACCTAGTAGCCAGAATTCTACACCAGGAGCTCGCGCTGAAATACGGTCTCGTGGACCGGAAATTGCCGTATTACAAGTACTTGCCGGAAGCCGTGCTCGAAAATGACCGCGCCAGACTCTACTGGGACCGGGCCATCATCACAGACAGGACTATTCTTGCGAATAAGCCTGATATTGTGCTGATGGACCGGGCACAGTCAAGGATATTTTTGGTCGATATTACCATCCCGTATGACGAGAACCTCGTGAGAGCCGAAACAGATAAGCAATCAAAATATCTGGACCTGGCTCACGAGGTGACGGACATGTGGGGTGGTCTGCCGGCCGAAATTATTTCTGTAGTCGTCTCTGCGAATGGGCTAATCCCAGTTAGCCTCTCTGGTCATCTGAGGCGACTGGAACTCCGTGACGGACCGCTCCGGGCTCAAATGCAGAAGGCGGTGCTCCTTGATACTGCCCGCATCGTCCGCCGGTTTCTTTCCCTTTCTTCCTAACCCTTGGCCGTTTGGTCTCCCCTGCCGAGGGCTTCCATCTGGTTGGGCTTTTATTTATTTATGTATTTTTGTATTTATTTTATTTTATTGATATTTATGTATATTTATCCTTTTACATTTTGTAGTTTATGCAATTGGCGATATATTTGAAAATGGGCCACGTTAGAAGTACCCTTAACCGACGAGCATGTATGCGTAGATATATGGATGTAAAGGAGGCGAAAGAGGTATGTCAGGATCGTGCCAAATGGAAGTCCGTAGTCTCTGCCTACCCCTCTGGGTGACAGGCGTGAGTGTTTATGTTATGTTATGTTATCCTTTCATTTTCGTTTATAATTATATATTTATACATCCCAACTAGATGAGAAAACTATATAGATACCCCACACATAATAATAATAATAAACATGAACGAAAACGCATTGCGGGCGTACTATAGGGCGAAAGGTGAAGAAACTGTGGGAATAGCGTATAGGTCTCGGATGCATTGCTTTTTTGCTGAGCTGGAGCCTTCTACCCCCGTCACGGAACAAAACCTGGCAGACCGAGTTCGGTACATCATGCGCTCGAAAATATTTGATGATGCCGAACTCGGACGACTACGACGTGAGGCTATTCCGTCGTCGAATGAATCGGCTATGGCTGGAGATGCAGCTCCACATTCGACAGACCAGCATCCACACGTGGAAGCCGCCCTGGATCTTCCCGTTGTGGTTGATTCGAACGACGATGAAATAGTCTCCCACGAACTAGAGAAAATGAGGAGTATACTGGAAGAGGCGATTTTGGAAACGCGCAGCACCCCTCTCGAAAATCGACCGCGACTTCCCCGCATACCCCTAAGCAAGCGAAATCGGGCTGTCGTGAGGGCTCTTAACCCAATGCTGGTGACCTATTTGGAAGCCAGCCGGGACCTTTGCGAGACGGACTCGATTCTCTTTGGCGCCGCAGTGGCAGTTTGCCGTATTATTGGCGCCAAACTTCCCATGGCTGGACGCGCTACTACACAAAGTAGCGCCATCCCAGCCTGGAGAAAAAGAATCGAGGACCGTATCGCAAAGGCAAGGGCCCTTATCGGCAGACTGACAAGCTTCAGGTCGGGTAATAATAGACCGAGGATTATGCGCACCGTTAGGATGGCGTTTGCTGGGACAAATATCAGTTTGTCCCAGCCGGATATCACGCAGAAACTAACGGAGCGCATAGACGACCTGAAGCAAAAGATCGCTGCTTGGGGGAAGCGGATTCGACGATTTACCGACAGGTCAAGGCGGTTCAACCAGAATCGTCTCTTCCAGAGTGATCAGAAGAGGCTCTATAAATCATTGGAGCGGCCAAAGGTATGTGGAGCGGGCCAAGGACCGGATCAGGCAGACATTATCGCATTCTGGCGTGGCCTGTGGTCAGAGCCCGTAAACCACAGCGAGGGCCCTTGGATGGAAGTTGTGGCGAGCCAGGGTGCGAGTGTTACGCCTATGGACCCCATCACCGTAACGCCGGAAGACGTGGCTGAGGCGGTCCGTAGGGCCCCGAACTGGAAAAGTCCGGGGCTCGACGGGCTGCATCATTACTGGCTGAAGGGGTTCGTAGTGTGTCACGCTGTGCTCGCCCGACAGTTTCAAGAGGCTCTCGACCAGAAGTCGCTCCCGAGCCTCTTCACTACTGGGATCACTCACTTGGTTCCTAAAGATCAGGATACCACAGACCCGAGCAAATACCGCCCCATCACGTGTCTACCCACCATATATAAGACACTGACATCCATTTTGAGCGCGAGAATCACTCGGCACCTGGAGCTAAACCAGTTGATGTCACGCGCTCAAAATGGATGTCGGGGCGGTGGTCGTGGAACCAAGGAACCACTCCTCATTGACGCGGTCATTGGCAAAGTGGTGAAACGCAACCGTCGGAACTTCTCTGCCGCCTGGATAGACTATAGAAAGGCGTTCGACTCGGTGCCCCATACATGGCTAAAGAGGGTCCTCGAGCTGTACAAGATTGACTGTACAGTTAGAGACTTCCTCGAGCAGTGTATGGGGCAGTGGAGTACGATCCTTTGTCATCTGGGCGAGCGGATGATGGCTGCGGAGAACCACATAAGGATAAGAAGGGGTATCTTCCAGGGCGATTGTCTGAGTCCAATCTGGTTCTGCCTCTCTCTAAACCCTCTCAGTACCTTACTGGAGGGCTCCGGGAGGGGATTTCAGCTACGGAGAGGAGGGACAAAAGTGACCCACCTTTTTTATATGGATGACCTCAAGTTATTCGCCTCCAGTCGCTCCCATCTTATGGAACTGCTAAACATCACTTGTGAATTTAGCAGTTCCATTGGAATGGAGCTGGGGACGGATAAGTGTGCGGTCCTCCATGTTGAGAGGGGAAGGGTTGCTAACTCTGAGGGCATAGACTTGTCTATGCCCGTCAACTTAAGGACCCTTTCCGAGGCTGAAACATACCGATACCTGGGTATGTCACAGAACATCGGTATCGATGAGGCTGGTATGAAACAGTCAGTTTGCGACGTGTTTTATGCACGCTTGACCAAAGTGCTTAACAGCCTTTTGTCCGGTGTGAATAAGTCACATGCATATAATGGCTGGGTCATGCCTGTCCTCATGTATACCTTTGGCATACTCAGGTGGACTCAGACTGAGCTTAACGCCCTGGATAGAAAAGTCCGCACTACCATGACGTCCCATAGGATGCATCATCCGAGATCGTCGGTAATGAGGCTGTACTTGCCGCGGAAGTATGGTGGGCGTGGCTTTCTGAGCGCGCTCACCATGCATAATCGCGAAGTGTGCAGTCTCCGTCAATACTTCTTGGCGAGATCGGGTGATCCATTCTATAATGACGTCATTTCTAGTGATAAAGGGCTTACTCCTCTATCCTTAGCCAACGAGCAATGGCAGGACCCAGCAGTGCTTAGCATTCCCGACCGGGAGACCGTATGGAAGGAGAAGGAGCTCCACGGGAGGTACTACAAGGCTCTACATGAGCCCTTCGTAGATACAGTCGCCTCCCTCAACTGGCTACGTTTCGGTGACCTCTTCGGGGAAACCGAGGGTTTTGTCTGTGCAATACAGGATCAGGTTATTAAGACCAACAACTATCGGAGATACATCCTAAAGGATGGCACCGTCGACGTCTGTCGAGCTTGTCGCCATCCCGGGGAGTCACTTAGGCATGTCATCTCCGGTTGTTCGGCGCTTTCTAACTCTGAGTACTTGCACAGGCACAACCTAGTAGCCAGAATTCTACACCAGGAGCTCGCTCTGAAATACGGTCTCGTGGACCGGAAAGTGCCGTATTACAAGTACTTGCCGGAAGCCGTGCTCGAAAATGACCGCGCCAGGCTCTACTGGGACCGGGCCATCATCACAGACAGGACTATTCTTGCGAATAAGCCTGATATTGTGCTGATGGACCGGGCACAGTCAAGGATATTTTTGGTCGACATTACCATCCCGTATGACGAGAACCTCGTGAGAGCCGAAACAGACAAGCAATCAAAATATCTGGACCTGGCTCACGAGGTGACCGACATGTGGGGTGGTCTGCCGGCCGAAATTATTCCTGTAGTCCTCTCTGCGAATGGGCTAATCCCAGTCAGCCTCTCTGGTCATCTGAGGCGACTGGGACTCCGTGACGGACCGCTCCGGGTTCAAATGCAGAAGGCGGTGCTCCTTGATACTGCCCGCATCGTCCGCCGGTTTCTTTCCCTTTCTCCCTAACCCTCGGCCGTTTGGTCTCCCCTGCCGAGGGCTTCCATCTGGTTGGGCTTTTATTTATTTATGTATTTTTGTATTTATTTTATTTTATTGATATTTATGTATATTTATCTTTTCATTTTCGTTTATAATTATATATTTATACATCCCAACCAGATGAGAAAACTATATAGATACCCCACATAATAATAATAAAAAAAGGGCGTAGGGAAGTGACGACCCCAGCGCCCGCTGATATAACGGTTATGTGACAAAACCGCTACGTCGGCGCAGTCAGTCAGCACCTTGCCAAGAGGTGTGAGCGCCGTGCCTCGGCAAAAATTGAAGGTGCCAAGGCCCGCTTGTGCACATGGCCTAACCATGAAACGGCGCCGGGTCTGGGCGTCTCCCGCTAAATGACGCCCTGTAAGGATGATGGAATCAAATGGAACGCGCAAAGGGCCGCTGCCTGGAGGTCGCCAGGGCGCGTCTGGAGCTGGCGCTGGACGCGACAGCATGCGAACCGCCAGCCGAGCGCGAGGTGCTGCACGACCACCCAGCAGCTCCTCGCATCCATCATCCCCACCAGCTGGCTTGGTGTCGGCAGGGTCTTCGCGGGCTCAGCAATCGGCACCCGCCACTGGTGGAGTACGCCGCATGCGTTGGACAACCCAGATGAACAGCAACGCGTTGCGGGCGTATTTTAGGGCGAAAGGGGGGAGAAACTGGAGGTTTTGCGTATCGGGCAAGGATGCATCGACTTTTTGCTGAGCTGGAGCCATCTGTAACCGTCACCGAGCAAAACCTGGCAGACCGAGTTCGGTATATCTTGCGCTCAAATACATTTGATGTCACCGAACTCGAACGGCTACGACGTGAGGCTGTTCCTTCATCGGGTGAAAATGCTGCGGCTGAGTGCGGCGCCACAATTGCGAGCAAACGGCAAATGTGGATGCCGCCGTGAATACGCCAGTTGTGGTTGATTCAAACGATGATGGAACAGTCGCCCAGGAACTGGAACTAGAGCAAATGAGGAGTACATTGGAAGAGGCGATTGTGGAAACGCGCAGTACGACTCTCGAAAATCGACCGCGACTTCCCCGCTTAGCCCTAAGCAAGCGGAATCGGGCTGTCGTGAGGGCTCTGAACCCAATGCTGGTTACCTATTTGGAAGCCAGCCGGGACCTTTGCGAGACGGACTCAATTCTTTTTGGCGCCGCACTGGCAGTCTGCCGTATTATAGGTGCCAAACTTTCCACGGCTGGACGCGCTACTGGACAAAGTAGTGCTATCCCAGCCTGGAGAATAAGAATTGAAGAACGTATCGCAAAGGCTAGGGCCCTCATCGGCAGACTGATATGCTTCAGGTCAGGCAATACCAGGCCAAGGATTGTGCGCACCGTCAGGATGGCGTTTGCTGGGACAAATGTTAGTTTGTCCCAGCCGGATATAATGCAAAAACTGACGGAGCGCATAGACGACCTGAAGCAAAGAATAGCTGCTTGGGGAAAGCGGATTCGGCGATATACCGAGAGGTCGACACGGTTCAACCAGAATCGTCTCTTCCAAAGTGATCAGAAGAGGCTCTATAAATCATTGGAGCGACCAATAGTAAGTGGAACGGGCCCTGCACCAAATCAGGCCGACATGGTCGCATTCTGGCGCAGCCTGTGGTCAGAGCCCGTAAACCACAACGAGGGCCCTTGGACGGAAGTTGTGGCGAGTCAGTGTGCGAGTATTACGCCCATGGACCCCGTCATCATAACGCCGGATGACGTAGCTGAGGCGGTCCGTAGGGCCCCGAACTGGAAAAGTCCGGGGCTTGACGGGCTGCATCACTACTGGCTAAAGGGGTTCGTGGTGTGTCACTCTGTGCTCGCCCGACAGTTTCAAGAGGCTCTAAACCAGAAGTCGCTCCCAAGCCTCTTCACTACTGGGATCACTCATTTGGTTCCTAAAGATCAGGGTGCCACAGACCCGAGCAAATACCGCCCCATCACGTGTCTACCGACCATATACAAGACACTAACATCCATTTTGAGCGCAAGAATCGCTCGACACCTGGACTTAAATCAGGTGATGTCGCGCGCTCAAAATGGATGTCGGGGCGGCGGTTGTGGAACCAAGGAACCACTCCTCATTGACGCGGTCATTGGCAAAGTGGTGAAACGCAACCGTCGGAACTTCTCCGCCGCCTGGATAGATTACAGAAAGGCATTTGACTCGGTGCCCCATACATGGCTAAAGAGGGTCCTCGAGCTGTACAAGATTGACTGTACAGTTCGAGACTTCCTCGAGCAGTGTATGGGGCAGTGGAGTACGATCCTCTGTCATCTGGGCGAGCGGATGACGGCTGCGGAAAGCCGCATAAGGATAAGAAGGGGTATATTCCAGGGCGACTGTCTGAGTCCAATCTGGTTCTGCCTCTCTTTGAACCCTCTCAGTACTTTACTGGAGGGCTCCGGGAGGGGATTTCAGCTTCGGAAAGGAGGTACAAAAGTGACCCACCTTTTCTATATGGATGACCTCAAATTATTCGCCTCCAGTCGCTCCCATCTTATGGAATTGCTAAACATCACGTGTGAATTTAGCAATTCTATTAGAATGGAGCTGGGGACGGATAAGTGTGCGGCCCTCCATGTTGAAAGGGGAAGGGTTGCTAACTCTGAGGGCATAGACTTATCTATGCCCGTCAACTTAAGAACCCTTTCCGAGGCTGAAACATACCGATACCTGGGTATGTCACAGAACATCGGTATCGATGAGGCTGGTATGAAACAGTCAGTTTGCGACGTGTTTTATGCACGCTTGACCAAAGTGCTTAACAGCCTTTTGTCCGGTGTGAATAAGGCACACGCATATAACGGCTGGGTCATGACTGTCCTCATGTATACCTTTGGCATACTCAGGTGGACTCAGACTGAACTTAACGCCCTGGATAGAAAAGTCCGCACTACCATGACGTCCCATAGGATGCATCATCCGAGATCGTCGGTAATGAGGCTGTACTTGCCGCGGAAGCATGGTGGTCGTGGCTTCTTGAGCGCGCTCACCATGCATAATCGCGAAGTGTGCAGCCTCCGTGATTACTTCCTGGCGAGATCGGATGATCCATTCTATAAGGACGTCATTTCTTGTGATAAAGGACTTACCCCTCTATCCTTAGCCAACGAGCAATGGCAAGACCCGGCAGTGCAGAGCATTTCCGACCGGGAGACCGTATGGAAGGAGAAGGAGCTCCACGGGAGGTTCTACAAGGCTCTACATGAGCCTTTCGTAGACACAGTAGCCTCCCTCCACTGGCTACGCTTTGGTGATCTCTTCGGGGAAACCGAGGGTTTTGTCTGTGCAATACAGGATCAGGTTATTAAGACCAACAACTATCGGAGATACATCCTAAAGGATGGCACCGTCGACATCTGTCGAGCTTGTCGCCATCCCGGTGAGTCACTTAGGCATGTTATCTCCGGTTGTTCGGCGCTTTCTAACTCTGAGTACTTGCACAGGCACAACCTAGTAGCCAGAATTCTACACCAGGAGCTCGCTCTGAAATACGGTCTCGTGGATCGGAAATTGCCGTATTAAAAGTACTTGCCGGAAGCCGTGCTCGAAAATGATCGCGCCAGGCTCTATTGGGACCGGGCCATCATCACAGACAGGACTATTCTTTTGAATAAGCCTGATATTGTGCTGATGGACCGGGCACAGTCAAGGATATTTTTGGTCGACATTACCATTCCGTATGACGAGAACGGGTGGGGCCGGGGGGGGGGGGGGGGGTGGGGTTGTTTCTCGTGAAAGCCGAAACAGACAAGCAAACAAAATATCTGGACCTGGCTCACGAGGTGACCGACATGTGGGGTGGTCTGCCGAACGAAATTATTCCTGTAGTCGTCTCTGCAAACGGGCTAATCCCAGTCAGCCTCTCGGGTCATCTGAGGCGGCTGGGACTACGTGGCGGACCGCTCCAGGTTCAAATGCAGAAGGCGGTGCTCCTCGATACCGCCCGCATCGTCCGCCGGTTTCTTTCCCTTTCCCCCCTAACCCTCGGCCGTTTGGTCTCCCCTGCCGAGGGCCTCCATCTGGTTGGGTTTTTACTTATTTATGTACTTTTATATTTATTTTATGTTATTGATATTTATGTATATTTATCTTTTCATTTTCATTTATAATTATATATTTATAGAACCCAACCAGATGAGAAAACTATATAGATACCCCACACATAATAATAATAAGCCGTATCATAGGCGCCAAGGTTTCCACGGCTGGACGCGCTACTAGCCATAGTAGCGCTATCCCAGCATGGAGAAGAAGAATTGAGGAACGTGTCGCAAAGGCTAGAGCTCTCATCGGCAGACTGATATGCTTCAGATCAGGCAACAACAGGCAAAGAATTGTGCGCACCGTCAGGATGGCGTTTGCTGGGACAAATGTCAGTTTGTCCCAGCCGGATATAACGCAAAAACTGACGGAGCGCATAGATGATCTGAAGCAGAGAATCGCTGCTTGGGGAAAGCGGATTCGGCGATATACCGAGAGGTCTACACGGTTCAACCAGAATCGTCTCTTCCAGAGTGATCAGAAGAGGCTCTATGAATCATTGGAGCGACCAATGGTAAGTGGAACGGGTCCAGCACCGAATCAGGCCGACACTGTAGCATTCTGGCGCGGCCTGTGGTCAGAGCCTTTAAACCACAGCGAGGGCCCTTGGACGGAAGTTGTGGCGAGTCAGTGTGCGGGTATTACGCCCATGGACCCCGTCATCATAACGCCGGATGACGTAGCTGAGGCGGTCCGTAGGGCCCCGAACTGGAAAAGTCCGGGGCTTGACGGGCTGCATCACTACTGGCTGAAGGGGTTCATGGTGTGTCACTCTGTGCTCGCCCGACAGTTTCAAGAGGCTCTCAACCAGAAGTCGCTCCCAAGCCTCTTCACTACTGGGATCACTCATTTGGTTCCTAAAGACCAGGGTACCACAGACCCGAGCAAATACCGCCCCATCACGTGTCTACCGACCATATACAAGACATTAACATCCATTTTGAGCGCGAGAATCACTCGTCACCTGGACTCAAATCAGGTGATGTCGCGCGCTCAAAATGGATGTCGGGGCGGTGGTCGTGGAACCAAGGAACCACTCCTCATTGACGCGGTCATTGGCAAAGTGGTGAAACGCAACCGTCGGAACTTCTCCGCCGCCTGGATAGACTACAGAAAGGCATTCGACTCGGTGCCCCATACATGGCTAAAGAGAGTCCTCGAGCTGCACAAGATAGACTGTACAGTTAGAGACTTCCTCGAGCAGTGTATGGGGCAGTGGAGTACGATCCTTTGTCATCTGGGCGAGCGGATGATGGCTGCGGAGAACCACATAAGGATAAGAAGGGGTATCTTCCGGGGCGATTGTCTGAGTCCAATCTGGTTCTACCTCTCTCTGAACCCTCTCAGTACCTTACTGGAGGGCTCCGGGAGGGGATTTCAGCTACGGAAAGGAGGGACAAAAGTGACCCACCTTTTCTATATGGATGACCTCAAGTTATTTGCCTCCAGTCGCTCCCATCTTATGGAATTGCTAAACATCACTTGTGAATTTAGCAATTCCATTGGAATGGAGCTTGGGACGGATAAGTGTGCGGTCCTCCATGTTGAAAGGGGAAGGGTTGCTAACTCTGAGGGCGTAGACTTATCTATGCCCGTCAACTTAAGGACCCTTTCCGAGGCTGAAACATACCGATACCTGGGTATGTCACAAAACATCGGTATCGATGAGACTGGTATGAAACAGTCAGTTTGCGACGTGTTTTATGCACGCTTGACCAAAGTGCTTAACAGCCTTTTGTCCGGTGTGAATAAGGCACACGCATATAACGGCTGGGTCATGCCTGTCCTCATGTATACCTTTGGCATACTCAGGTGGACTCAGACTGAACTTAACGCCCTGGATAGAAAAGTCCGCACTACCATGACGTCCCATAGGATGCATCATCCGAGATCGTCGGTAATGAGGCTGTACTTGCCGCGGAAGCATGGTGGTCGTGGCTTCTTGAGCGCGCTCACCATGCATAATCGCGAAGTGTGCAGCCTCCGTGATTACTTCCTGGCGAGATCGGATGATCCATTCTATAAGGACGTCATTTCTTGTGTTAAAGGACTTACCCCTCTATCCTTAGCCAACGAGCAATGGCAAGACCCGGCAGTGCAGAGCATTTCCGACCGGGAGACCGTATGGAAGGAGAAGGAGCTCCACGGGAGGTTCTACAAGGCTCTACATGAGCCTTTCGTAGACACAGTAGCCTCCCTCCACTGGCTACGCTTTGGTGATCTCTTCGGGGAAACCGAGGGTTTTGTCTGTGCAATACAGGATCAGGTTATTAAGACCAACAACTATCGGAGATACATCCTAAAGGATGGCACCGTCGACATCTGTCGAGCTTGTCGCCATCCCGGTGAGTCACTTAGGCATGTTATCTCCGGTTGTTCGGCGCTTTCTAACTCTGAGTACTTGCACAGGCACAACCTAGTAGCCAGAATTCTACACCAGGAGCTCGCTCTGAAATACGGTCTCGTGGATCGGAAATTGCCGTATTACAAGTACTTGCCGGAAGCCGTGCTCGAAAATGATCGCGCCAGGCTCTATTGGGACCGGGCCATCATCACAGACAGGACTATTCTTGCGAATAAGCCTGATATTGTGCTGATGGACCGGGCACAGTCAAGGATATTTTTGGTCGACATTACCATTCCGTATGACGAGAACCTCGTGAAAGCCGAAACAGACAAGCAAACAAAATATCTGGACCTGGCTCACGAGGTGACCGACATGTGGGGTGGTCTGCCGACCGAAATTATTCCTGTAGTCGTCTCTGCAAACGGGCTAATCCCAGTCAGCCTCTCGGGTCATCTGAGGCGGCTGGGACTACGTGGCGGACCGCTCCAGGTTCAAATGCAGAAGGCGGTGCTCCTCGATACCGCCCGCATCGTCCGCCGGTTTCTTTCCCTTTCCCCCCTAACCCTCGGCCGTTTGGTCTCCCCTGCCGAGGGCCTCCATCTGGTTGGGCTTTTATTTATTTATGTACTTTTATATTTATTTTATGTTATTGATATTTATGTATATTTATCTTTTCATTTTCATTTATAATTATATATTTATAGAACCCAACCAGATGAGAAAACTATATAGATACTCCATAATAATAATAATAATCTTTTAAATAATTATCTTTTCATTTTCATTTATAATTATATATTTATAGAACCCAACCAGATGAGAAAACTATATAGATACTCCACAATAATAATAATAATAGCCATTTAATTCCCAATTTTCATACAACAGTCGATATTAGTTAAAACCAATTACAATATTGTTATGAGTCATGCAATTTTTTTTTAATTAAAAGACATGATAATGCCGGTGTCAATTTTAAATAAAAAAAGTTTAAATTAAATTTACAAAATTAATTTTTGATTATTTATAAATAATGTTAAGGTAAATAATCAATTTATATTTATATTTTCAAGTGATTGTCAACTTATTCTGATTTTTGTCACAAAATATATAGTTAAAATAATAAAATTGAACTTAATAATAATCTACTGAATTTGGCTATACACATAAAATAGAGTCATAATTTATGATATTAATTTTAATTAATTATGGGATACCCATTTCCGGGTGAAGGCCTCCTCCATCCTTTTCCATGAAGTTCTGTCTACCGCTAACCTCGTCCACGTTGCTCCTGCCACCTCTACAATGTCATCGCACCAGCTTGCCCGCGGTCGGCCGCGCGAGCGCGTCGCATCACGCGGGTACCAATGTAGCACCCGTTCAGTCCATCTCCCATCACTGACTCGTGCCACGTGTCCTGCCCATCTCCACTTCAGTTGACACGCTAATTTGGCTGCGTCCATGATATTTGTTTTTTTTCGTATATCACTGTTTCTATGTCGATGTCTTAGTTTAACGTTTAGCATGCTGCGTTCCGTTGCTCGTTGGAAAACTTGTAGCTTAGATATTATTTTCCTTGTGAGAGCCCAGTTTTGCCATCCATATAATAAAGTGGGGAGTACAGTAGTATCCAACGCTTTCTTTTTTAATTTAATTGGTATTTTTGCCTTGAAAATATGTTTTAGTAACCAATATTTGCTCCATACTAATTTAATTCTTCTATTAACTTCCGTCATTGTTAAGTTGTGAAATGAAATATTTTGCCCAAGATAAATATATTCATTAACATATCTAATTTGTTGGTTTTGAACGTGTACAGGCATTTTTGTGCTGTTTGTCAATATACAAGTTTTATCTGGATTCATTTGTAGGCCACATTTTCTGCTTTCTATGTCTAAAGACTGAACCATATATATAAGGTCTTCGTGATTTTCGCTTAATATGATAATGTCGTCTGCAAAACGTAGATGACTCAAAATTTCTCCGTTAATATTAATGCCTCGTTTGCCCCAGTCAAGTTTTGAGAAAATGTACTCTAATAAACAAGTAAATAGATTAGGTGAGATTGGATCCCCCTGTCTCACCCCTCTCTCGATTTTAAATGGCTGTCCTGGTCTCTCCATTCTTATTGTTGCTGTAGTTTTTCTATTAAGTAATATACTTGTGAAAACTTTATAAATTGTATGCAATAGGGATACAGGTCTATAGTTGTTGATATTTAGTCGATCACCCTTCTTGTACAATAATATGATAGTAGAGTTTGCCCAATCTTCTGGTATTTGACTTAGGTCGAGTATTTTGTTGAAAATATTTGTTAATATCGGTATGACGGGTTCTTTTATCGCTTTCAAAACATCATTTAAAATACTATCTTCTCCTGAAATTTTTGCACTTTTAAGTTTTTTTATGGCATGACTTATCTCACACGGTAGTAGTGGCGGAATACGATCGTTTATATCCTCAATACAACTATTATTTATTAATTCATCCGTTATGTTATTTTCCACGTTATGACTTTTGTATAAGTTTTTGTAAAAATCAGTAGCTATTTTTAAAAGGTGTTCTCTATTTGTAGTTTTTTTGTTATCATTTGCTTTTAGTGAGGAAATCCACTCTTTGGATAGAGTGAGTCGTTTCTGTGCATTTTTTTGTAGAGCCTTTATGTAATAACTCTTCTTCTAATATTTTTAAGCGGTATTCTAATTTTTTTTTTATTAATAATTCTTTTTTATTTTGAGGTAGAGTTTTGACAGTATATTTTTTTTCTTCTTTAGTCTTTTTTTCTTTACTTTTAAGTTTCGTTCTTTCTTTAATAAGTTCTTTTATTTCTGGACAAAATTGGAATTTTTCTTTACGTATTTTTGGCAACTTTTTTTATACATTCTTCTATTATATTAGTCAGGTTTCTGTAGTTTTCTTGCAAGTTTTCTTTCTTTTTTATTATTATTTAATAACTCTGTAAACATCCCTTTGAGGAATTCATTTTCACTTGGTGTTAACTGTCTTTTTGGAGCACAAAATTTTTTCCTGTTCTTTTTTACTTTAGTTTTAATGTTGACGCATCCACGTACAAGTCTATGGTCTGATGGATAGGTTGTATTTATTATTTCTAGGTTTGTCATTTCTCTTATATCTTTTGTAAGAATGAAGTCAATTTCGTTACGCCTTTTTCCATTGGGTGACACCCAAGTCCATCTATTCTTTAATTTTTTCTTGAAATATGTACTACTTATCTTAAATTGGTTCTCTAAGCAAAACTGAATTAATAACTCACCCCGTTCGTTTCTGTCACCAAATCCCCATGGTCCCATACTACTTTTGTCTTCGGGCGTTGGTTGTCCAATTTTGGCATTAATATCACCCATTATCATTGTAGATGTTGATGAATTTTGTAGTGCTTTTAGTATCTCTGAGTAAAAAGAGTTGAATTTCACTTTCTTTAGCTTTATATGTAGGCGCATAAACTTGGATTAAAGTTAAAAATTTTTGACCAAACTTCATATCTAGACGTGCGACTCTATCATATATACTTGTATAATTAAATATGTTTTCTCTCCATTTTCTTTTAATAACAAATCCGACTCCATTTATACCACTCTTTACTCCTGTGTGAATAAGTATATATTGTTCATATTCTAAAATTTTAGTCCCTTCTTTTTTTACTTCTGCTAAGCCTACAATGTCCCATTTTATATATCTAAGGGCGTGGTCTAGTTCTTCTTGGCGACCGTCTCCGACTAGAGACCTTACATTAAATGTGGCGATATGTATTTTAATATTGTTTTCGCTTTCTATTCCGACTTTATGGATGGAGGGTTTTGGTCTACTGCTCCCACGGTGACCATCCGTATTGGGAGAGTGATTCTGAGTAGTGCATTGCTTCATTGTTTTACTATGTTGACTGGAGGGGGCCTGTATTTTTCATATATCTGTTGAGTGTTCATTCCGAGATTCTTTATTGTTAATTTTATAATAATATGATGTCATTTGGTTAAGGCTCGATCTATGTTTCTTATTAATTCTTATATTTTCACTGTTTCTGGAATCTTTTTCTGGGTTTAGAGGAGCGATATGTAGATTGGTTGTTTGGTGTGGCGACGGTGGTGATAAAGAGAGTGGTCTTTTATTTGGGTGTACATCTTTTCTTTCCTTTATTATGAGTTTGTCATATTTTATGTAAGCCACGTTCCCTTTTTCAATTTCTTGTTGTAGTTGTGCTTTTAGAGTTTTTCTAATTTTTAATACTCTTTCTGTATATTCTTCTGTGACGTAGATGTTCGATCCTTTAAGCTGTTTTTTGTTTTGCAATATTTTAATTTTTTTGCCTAGCGTAGTTATGGCTACAGCAACAGGTCTGATGTTAATTCCTCTTTTACCAAGCCTTCTTACTGATTCAAGTTCGAAGTCTTGTATATCAATTTTCATTTGATTTTTTATTATATGTATAATTTTTTCCTGTAACTCAAAGTATGTTAATTCTCCCTCTTCAACTCCAAAAAATACTAAATTTCTTTGTTTGTTTGCTTTTTCGAGTGCGAATATTCTTTTTTCTTGATCTAAAACCTGTGTTTGTAAATTATCGTATTTGTTGCTCAGTTCCTGGAATTTTTCATTTATATTTGAATTGATTTTTGAGGTCATTCTTTCTTCTAATTGAGAAAACTGTGATTCTATTGAAATTAATTTTGTACTAAAATCTGTTTTAATTTCTTTTATAAGTCTCTGCAGATCATCCATTTTATCTTTATTCTTATGTTTGTTATGACAGTAATTCGCGACCTCTAGTGTCAAATGAAAGGTTATTGTGAAGTTAGATTAATGTGAAGTTAGTAATAGACGGGTGTCGATTATTCAATATGGTTGTGAACTTGAGACGTAGTATTAATTTATACCGCTAGATGATGGTAGCGGAGGCCGATGTGTTTATTTAATCCACTTTCTTTAATTTATTAATTATTGTTAATGTTTATAATAGTCAGTTATTTTATTAATATATTTTCATATTTATATTTATATATTTTAATATTTTCATTATCTAGTTCTTTTCTGCAAACTCACAAATATAAGCCATTTGCTTTATTTATTACTATTAATATATTTTTTTTTTCACTCACCGTCATTACCATCAATATATTGTTGAATATTACACTTTTGTCACTTTATTTTTCTAATTAATATTTTGTCTTCACATTATTTTAGCCTTGTTTAGCGATCTTACATCATTGACATTCGTTTTATAATTGAAGAATGAAGGATTCTTTTTTCTTTGTTTTAGGTGAAGTCACATATTTTGAGTACCGTCACAAGATCTTTACTTTAAGTCTTTATTTAATGTTTTTGTTCACTATTATATGGAAATTATTACGTCACCGCACTAACTTTTTAACTTTTTATAATTAATAACACCTTTTTAGTTATTTTACACTCTCGAGATATTTAAAATTGCTTTCTTTAGCAGAGCTAGTACTGTACGCTGCGCAGTCGCGCCCTCCTCCCTCAATTGCAATACTTCACAGATTTTCGACTAATCGGTTTGCCGCCAAAGACTCGTCGAATCATCAATGTGCACCGTGTGGAGGTGGGGAAAAGATGACATTCATAATATTACAAACTGTGGTAGCTGGTTTGGATAGGAACCATCCACGATCCGGTGTGAAGGGTATAGAGATCCAGTACATACAGGCTGTAAGGCATTCTGTCTCGCTCCTCAGAGGTGACAACGCATCTGCTCACTTTTTGTTTGACGTTAGTTGCAGTAAGTTTTTTTGTCACTTAAGTGTTATAAAAATATATGTTAATTCTTTCTTACATATTTGATCGAATTGTTTTATTTAAATAAGAATAAAATAAATTATTTCATAACTTAACATTTCTCAATGGAAATTGCAAATCACAGATAGTGAATGGCAAGTACTCGAAAAAATACATAAGTTTCTAATAAACTTTAAACTTCTATCAACGAAACTTGGTGAAGAAAAAATATGTTACATTACCGGTAGCCATTGTATCATTCAATCTCTTGCTCGATAAAATTAAATCCATGGTAAAGCAATTAGATGAGAAACCTAATCGATCCGAAGTGGATGAAAGGCTCATTCTGGGTTTTCAAGCAGCTCGAGATAAAATACTTAAACATTAAAAAAGAGCAACTGGATTTATTGTACCTCTTTAATTTTAGACCCAAGGCATAAGACTCAGACTTTTGACATGACATTATGGGGGAAGCAAATTAAAACAGGAAGCCTGCGCAAATTTAATGAACTTTATAAAGAATATAAAAGTCTACACTCAGTGAATACATCTCTAGAATCACCAAGAAATGAAAAGAAAGTAAGTGAATATGATGAAGATGAAGACGTGATAGAGTTTAAGAAATTGTATGTATGTCCCTCGACGTCATCTGGATCTGGATCTTTTCATCAAGGCTTAGTTATAGGCGAGTTGGAGGAGTACCTAAGTAAACCCAGAGCTGCCAGTTCGGAAGACATTTTAGAGTGGTGGAGGACGCATGAGACAGAATATCCGACTTTATCGAAGATGGCCCGTGATTTTCTTTCAATACCTGCAACTTCAGTACCTGCTGAGATTATTTTCTAAAGCATCATTAGTAATTAGAAAACATAGAAATAGGTTAAGTGATGAGTCAGCCAGATGGTTACTTTGTATTAATTCTTGGTCAAAAGAATTAATATGAAGTAACAGTAATGTTAAAGCTGTTGGGTACTGTTATGTAATTTAATTTGTATTGTATTTTATTTTTTTATTTAAATAAATGGTAAATTGTATAACTCTTTTATTCCATTTCATATAAGGGTCTATCAATCTCTTTCTAGATAGATAATGTTCTTTATAATACAGTCAAGTTAATGTCATTAATTTGTTTTTTATATGTTTTGACTAAGTTTTAGCACATGTAAGCTTATTAAATGTAAACGTTTATTAAGAAACAGACTAACTCCCGTGGCCGTGAGACTTGGTAGACAGCTCAGTTGGTTAGAGCATCGGCACGGATCGCTTAGGTCGTGGGTCCAAACCCCACCCGGTATTAGTTAATTTTTTCGAATTTCTCATTAAATGTTTAGACATTTATTAATTTGGTTGGTCTTTCTATGGCTATGTTAATTCAAGCTCAAAATGTGCCTACTCTGTTAAGTTGTTCTAAGATCTAAAGTAACGTTTACTAAATAACAATAGGCTAATAGGTAATTGCGAGACTTGCGAGACTCTTGCTGCAAGACCAAGACCAAGAACAAGACTGAGAGCGCAATACCAAGACCAAGAACAAGACCAGGTGTATTGGCGTAAGACCAAGACCAAGACTGGCTAAGTCTCGTCTTGTTCTTGCATTTGGACAACACTAGTAAGTTCTGCAAGAACCGCCACAGAAGAACACAAAAACACTCCGATCACACTCTTAATCTCATGGCTGTTAGACGGGAGATGAGGCTGCAATCGTCAACAGATTTGACAGCATATAGGCAACTGTACAGACAGATCTCCAAATGCATGCGGCGAGACTTACGCAACTTTAATACTGCTTGTATTAAAGAAGCGATCGAGCGGAACCAGGGCTCCAAAGTCTTTGCCAGAGATCTGTCTGCCAGAAAGAGGCAACTGTCGAAGCTGAAGACTGAGTGTGGCAGCATCGTTTCCGGGACACCTGAGATTTTGAGTTAGATTGAGAGGTTCTATGGGCAGCTGTACACATCATCGTTGGTGCCACACGCAAGTGTGAGAAACGATCTAAGAGCAAGTCTTATCCGACACTATTCCGATGATATCCCGGACATCAGTCTGAGCGAAATTATAATGGCTCTCCAGCACCTTAAAAACGGCAGGGTCCTATGCGAGGATGGAATTACAGCGGAGCTCCTGAAAGCGGGTGGAACACCGGTACTTGAAGTCCTTGAGAAGCTCTTTAATTCCGTCCTCCATAGTGGCGACACTCCGGAGGCGTGGAGCAGAAGTGCGGTGGTCTTGTTCTTCAAGAAAGGTAACAACGCTCTCTTGAAGAACTACAGATACTACCGATTTCCCTTCTGAGCCGCGTCTACGTGTTGTTTTCGAGAGTCATTACGAATTGTCTCGTACGCTACTCGACGACTTCCAGCCTCCCGAACAAGCCAGTTTCCGAAAAGGCTTTAGTACCATAGACCACATACATACCCTTCGGCAAATTGTACAGAAGTCCGAAGAGTACAATCTGCCTTTACTAGTGGATATGAGAAGTATGAAATGGTATACAGTCTTTTCGGCGGTGCCAAGTTGACTGTCGGTATATCGAAGTGCTGAAGTGTTTGTATAGTAGGGCTACGATGGCTACCCGAGTACAAAACCAGAGTACGATACCTACCCAACTGCAGAGAGGTGTAAGACAGGGTGACGTTATTTCCCCGAAACTCTTCACCGCTGCATTGGAAGACGTTTTCAAGCTACTGGACTGCAAATGATACGGTATTAACATCAATGGCGAGTACATCACTTACCTTCGATTTGCCAACGATATTGTCCTTATGGCAGAAGCGCTGGAGGACTTAAGCACTATGCTCAATGACCTCAATAGTGCCTCCCAACGGATAGGTAACAAAACAAAGATCATGTTTAATGTCCATGTCACACCTATGCCGGTAGTTGTTGGGAGCACTATGCTCGAAGTTGTTGACGAGTATGTTTACCTGGAACAAATAGTCCGACTAGGTAAGTCCAACTTCGACCGAGAGGTCAATCGACGGATTAACTCGGGTGGGCAGGGAGACATCTTCTCGTCGGGTATACCTCAATCTCTGAAAACAAGATTGTACAACCAGTGCGTGTTGTCAGTGACGACTTACGGATCTGAGACGTGGTCCTTCACTGCTGGCCGTATGAGAACGCTCAAGGTCGCTCAGCGAGCTATGGAGAGGGCTATGCTCGGAGTTTCTCTGCGTGATAGACTAAGAAATGAGGATATCCGCAGTAAAAGCAGAGTGACCGACATAGCCCAACGAATTAGTAAGCTGAAGTGGCAATGGACCGGCCATATAGCTCGAAGAACCGATAACCCATCCCCATCGGAAGAAAGGTTCTCGAGTGGCAGCCTCGTAACGGTAGGCGTAGTGTAGGGCGACCCCCCACTAGATGGAGTGACGACCTGGTAAGATATGCAGGAAGTCGATGGATGCAGATGGCTCAGGACCGTGCTTTGTGGCATTACTTGGGGAAGGCCTATGTTCAGCAGTGGACATTGTGAAGGGCTGTAATGATGATGATGATTCTATTATTATGTACAATAATTCTGTAATATTTTGGTGAGAAAAAAAATCATTTATTATAATTACTATTATTATTTTATTACGCTATATATAGTATTCTGTGAGAGCGTTATCCTTCCCCGGTCAAGCCGACCCATTCGTGCTACAATTATACTTCTAATATAACTGCAACATGGCTCTACCACGTATAAAAATATATAAATAAAAGTATAAACTATGTAAATTAATATATGATATTATTTTAATCCACGGAATTATCATTTATCTGACACCAGGATACAATTTATGCCGCTGGAGAAACAACCATTAATATTCTTCATCACACTACTTAAGTGTTCATATTGAATACTAAGTAAAACATAATATTATAGCATTTTATTTGCAATCGATATGTGTATTGATCACGGAAAATAAATTTATGTCAGAAATCAACAAAGATTTTTCCATTGTTATTACTCAAAATTAAGTAAACATTATCATGATTAC